TTCCTTTCCCCACAAAGCTTTCCATTAGAGCAAGGAAGAGGGCCTTGAATTTCAACATCTGCTATTTCTAGTTCACTGTCCTAGGTGCTGGAGACAGAAAGAAAGATGTTGAAATTAAAGTATATGTCGGGCAGAGGTAAGACATGAGGAGCGAGCACCTGAATAAGCCACAGACAGGCTACCTGCCTTACTTTCCTCCTCAGTCCTCCCGAAAGATAACACTACCTGTCTTTCTCTTTTCCACCGACCTTCGTTTCTTAATAAAACTGATCATTGTAAGTAGCAGTAGGTTTCTTCAGTGGCATCATGGCGTAGAGCCAAAGACCTGTTCAAATGTTTCCAAGCCTTGGCTTTTAGACTTCCTTTTCAAATTACTCTCAAAGATACCTGTTTTGGGCCAGCCAGATAGCTCAGCAGGTGGAAAGTTCCTGCTGCCGAGCCTGATGACCTGAGTTCCATCTACAAGACCCACACGGGGTGGAAAAACAGGACAGACTCCCGAAAGTTACCCTCTGCCCTCCATGTGCATGCTGTCTCACACACTGCATACACATGCCTATCTATGCAAGATGTGGTGGCCCACACCTATAATCCCAGCGCTTGGGGGCCTAGGACAGAAAGCTTGCCTTCATATCTATCTTGGTACTTCCCCGATGTCCTCTTCTCACAGACAGTCAGTGTTCACCTTCACTAAACAGTAGCACATGATCTGCAAGAAATTGCCTGACTGGCAAGTGTAGAACCATGTCTTCATATTGGAGCCATTCTGACTGACAGCGAAGTCAGCCGTTTACACACAGATGTACTTGGCTTTTGTTGAATGTCTGAAACTCAGTTTAGAGAATGACAGTTTGGGGCTCTTGCCTCCATTCTTTGAAGCTTCTCCCTAAGAGCACTTACCTTACTGAGTGATCCAAGGCTAATAGCTAGTGTGGATGCAGTGCGGGCGTGGACAAAGTCATCGTGGTTTATTGGGTTTAACAATGGCCTTTCTCCTTATCTATATGATTTTAAAGTGAAAACTCTTCATTTCTTATTGGCTCCCAACTTTCACTGAGCCATGAAATGTTAAGTTAGAAAGAATTTCAGAGACCAGGCAAAATGACATACGGGAGAGGCAGAGGCAGGCAGATCCTTCTGAACTCAAGGCCAGCCTGGTCCACACAGCAACTTCTAGGCCAGTTGGAGCAACAAAGTGAGACCCAGTTTAAGAGAGAGAGAGAGAGAGAGAGAGAGAGAGAGAGAGAGAGAGAGAGAGAGAGAGAGAGAGAGAGAGAGAAGAATAGAAAGGGAATGAGGGAATGAAGAGATGGCTCTTCAGTTAGGAGCTCTGGCTGTTCTTCCACACTCGCTCAATTCCCAGCATGCACACGGCAGTTCACAAGGGATCTCACACACTCACATCGATCAAAATACCAAGTCACATACAATAAAAATAAATCTTTAAAAAGAAAAAGAGGGCTGGAGAGATGGCTCAGTGGTTAAGAGCACTAGCTGCTATCCCAGAGGACCCAGGTTCAATTCCCAGCATCCACAGGGCAGCTCACAACTGTCTGTAACTCCATTTCCAGGGGATCTCACACCTTCACAGACATACATGAAAGAAAAACACCAGTGAACATAAAATAAAATAAAATCATTAAAAAATAGAAAAAGAAAAGAAAATGTTCAAGGACACGTGGTCCAAATTCTATTGGGAAATTCCTTTTTATTTATTTGTTTATTTATTTACTTAGGACTTTGTTGGAGTTTGTAATAGGATCTGACTATGGAACTCAGGCTGGTTTTTTACATTTCTTTTTTTATTTTTAGCTGGGTGGGGTGTCCCACACCTCTAATCCCACCATTCGGTGGCAGAGGTAAGGGAATCTCTTTGAGTTCAAGGCCAGTCTGGTCTTCATAGTGAGTTACAGGACAGCCAGGGCTATGTAATGTTACCCTGCCAAAGTGGGGGGGAGGGAGCTTTGGATTTTATTTATTTTTATTTCATGTATATGAATATTTTTCCTGCAAGTGTGTCTGTGGAGCCGGTACATGCTCATAGAGAGCAGGAAAGGGCACCAGATCCCCTACAACTGCAGTCACAGAGGTTGCTAGTTTTCGTGGGTGCTGGGAATGGAAACTGAGTCCTCTGAAAGAACACCCAGTTCTCCTGACTGCTGAGCCACCTCTCCAGCCCCTAGGCTAGCTTTGAACTTATAGTGATCCTCTTGCTTCAATCTTACAATTAAAGTGATAGATTACAGTTGTGTGCCATTGCTCTAGGCCTGACTCTTCATTGAGTCCAAAACTGTCTTCCTGCAGTCCATGCACCTTGGTGCTGCTCTGTTCTGCAAAGTAATAGCAAATCAAACCCTCTTCCATGAAAATGCCTAGAGTAGCTGGGTGGTGGTGGCGCACACCTTTAATCCCAGCACTCGGGAGACAGAGCCAGGCGGATCTCTGTGAGTTCATGGCCAGCCCTGTCTACAGAGTAAGATCCAGGACAGGCACCAAAGCTACAGAGAGAAACCCTGTCTCGAAAAACCAAAAATAATAATAATAATAATAATAAAAAAGAAAATGCCTAAAGTAATTATGATTAAGTTCAAGAGAGTTATTACCTCTACACACCCTCACTCCAGTTTCCTTTTCATTTATATGGTTTCTGGGCTCTGCTTTTCTATTGTTACCAGTGTATTTAAAATTTTTCCAGCTTATTTCTTTATGCATGTGTGCCTGGGCTTAAGTGTGCTTTTAGAAAGTACATGTGGAAGTCGGAAGACTTCCCATCACATAGGTTCAACAGTCTTGGCAGAAAGGACCTTCACCCGGCTTTTGTATTTTTTCCAAGTGTCCCAATTATGCATCTTGTAGAGTCTGGATTCTGGTGAAGGCAGGTCAGAAGTTAAGTCTTGTCAATGGCATTTGCCAATATGTAGTCCTGGGAAGATTTCTCAGTTCCCAGGAGCCTTGAATATAAACCAGGGCCATCCCTGGTCTTATTCAATTATTCAGTGAGTTCTTTGGTTCATACTAAAGTGTCTGTATCATAATGCCTTACAGGGGTCTAATAAATACACATTAACATGTGTAACTCTGTGATGACCAGTGCAGATCTAGTTACACCACCTCCTTCCTGTGAGAGGCAGTCTGTGTGTTTACAGTGTAAACCAGCATTAACCTAATGTTGGCTGAGTCGTGGTCACCTAACTTACCAAGTCATTTTTGCCAGAACTTACCAAGTAAGGGTATTGCCTATAGGTAGACTTTTAAGTCTCTGGAAGGTTTTGTATTTATCTGTGATGTCTGAAATCATATGGCCTTTGTACCCTCTTTTTTCTAAACTGTAGAAGGTTATTGACGTGAAGAAAGTGGACCAGGTCTCAGTTCTTGTTTTAATAAAGGGTTTATTTTTGCCTAATTTGCTGACTGCTCTGACTGGCCACATGGCACTGAAATCCACTGATGATCAATAAGATATTCAAAGAAGGTCTTAGAAGATAATTCTATTTGAGCTGGGTGTGGTATCAAATTTCTTTAATCCCTGGACTCTGGAGTCAGTGGCAGCCAGATTTCTGTGAGTTCAAGGGCAGACTTGACTACAAAGTGAGATCTGGGACAGCCAGGGCTACACAGTGAGATGCTGTCTCAGAAACAAAGGAAAGAAAGAGGAAAAGGAAAGAAAATGCATTTAACATTTTCTTCCTATTTAAAATCTAAGAAAATAATCGCGACTTCAGCACATGACAGACCGAGGACCAGAGACTTTGTAACAGGTTAAGAAGTATAGGTCTGCACACCCAGAGCTCTTTTCTTTCCGTCGCTTTTCTATTTCTGACATTAATTTACCCGTTCTCTTGGGTAGGACACACACATGCTAAGTGTGCAGAGGTCAGAGGGCGTGCAGGAGGAGCTGTCTTCCAGCATGTGGTTTCTGGGGACGGATTCCAGCCATGGGCCTCTGCGGGCAAACACCTCTACTCACTACCCCACAGCACTCTCTCTTTAAGGTAGACTTTAGGGTAATCTAGGCTGACCTGAAGCTTGCTAGATGAGACATTAGAGGCAGGCTAGCTCTCAACTTGCAACAGTCTCCTTGCCTCAGACTCCTGTTTGCAGGGATGTGGCACTCATCATGGCTCAGTACTCTTTTAGCTTCCTACCCACTCTGACCACTCCCAGTCACCCTCCCAAGACCAACTACGCTCCATACCATCCCCTTTCCCACAGCTCTCAATCAGTCAGCAAGTCAGCCCACTGTTGGCTGTCTGTATTGGGTGCACGGAACGTCCTCTTCAAACCTAACACACAGCTCCTGCCCTGTGTAATGGTTGAGGTAAACAGATTCCTACACAAAAGGCAACCTTCAAACACTCAGGGCACAGCTTTCTGGGAAGCACAAATTAAACTGAACAATCAAATCTGCAAGTGCTATAAGGGTTTTAAAAAAGAAAAGTCTGGGACTGTCAAGATGGCTCAGTGGTTAAGAGCAATGGCTGCTCTTCCAGAGGACCTGGGTTCAATCCCCAGTATCCACACAGTGGCTCACAACCATCTGTAACTCCAGTTCCCAGTCATCAGACACTTTCTTCTGTCCTCCATGGACATCAGGCTCTGATGTGCTATGCAGACATAATATTAATATTAGTAATATTAAACTGTTTAAAAATCAGACGAGACACTGCATAGGTATGAAAAGGAGCTAAGTGAGCCACACCTTTAATCCTAGCACTTGGAGGCTGAGGCAGGCAGATCTCTGTGAGATCGAGGCCAGCCTGGTCTATATGGCAAGTTGCAGGACAGCCAGGGCTACAGTGAAACCCTGTTTCAAACAACAGCAGCTAAGCAAATGTGTTCCCTGGGTTTAGCAAGAAGGCAAGGGTAATGGGTCACCTCCTGGGCAGTGATCAGAAAAAGCACCATAGCCCAGATGGGCTCCCACTGTGGAGGCTGGATGGAGGATTAGTTTGGCCCCTCAAGGGGCCCTGCTTTGACCCAACTCTGCTCTCTGCCTTCAGATGTGTCACCGGTGGCGGCCGGCCTCATCGGGGCCTCTGTGCTGGTGGTGTGTGTTTCTGTGACTGTCTTTGTGTGGACGTGCTGCCACCAGCAGGCAGAGAAGAAGCACAAGACCCCGCCATATAAGTTCATCCACATGCTGAAAGGCATTAGCATCTACCCAGAGACCCTCAGCAACAAGAAGAAAATCATCAAAGTTCGGAGAGACAAAGATGGTCCTCGGAGGGAGAGTGGACGAGGGAACCTGTTAGTAAGTGCCGCAGAGTCTGGCCTGCTGAGCCAAGACAAGGACCCCAGGGCGCCTAATGCCGCTGCGTCTTGTATAGACCAGTTACCCATCAAAAGAGACTATGGGGAAGAACTGAGGAGCCCCATGACAAGCCTGACCCCTGGTGAGAGCAAAGCCACCTCCCCATCATCACCAGAGGAAGATGTGAGGCTAGGATCCCTTACCTTCTCGGTGGACTATAACTTCCCCAAAAAAGCTCTGGTGGTGACAATCCAAGAGGCCCATGGGCTGCCAGTGATGGATGACCAGACCCAGGGCTCTGATCCCTACATCAAGATGACCATCCTTCCTGACAAGCGGCATAGAGTGAAGACCCGTGTGCTCCGCAAGACCCTGGACCCTGTATTCGATGAGACCTTCACCTTCTACGGCATCCCATACAGCCAGCTGCAGGACCTGGTGCTACATTTCCTCGTGCTCAGCTTCGATCGCTTCTCTAGGGATGACGTCATTGGGGAGGTCATGGTGCCGCTGGCTGGAGTGGACCCCAGCACGGGCAAGGTTCAGCTGATCAGGGACATCATCAAGAGGAACATCCAGGTGAGGAGGAAGAGTGTGCTGGGGAGGGATGGCAGGATGGGCATAACAGATCTCAGGGAGAGATGGGAGGTTCAGACAAAAGTCAAAAGCTCACAGCCTCACGCACACAAGAGGCAGGAACCACAGATAAAACACTGAGCAGCTTCACGTACATGAAGGGTTGATGGGATTCTAACTTCCTGTGTCTTTTGATTTTCAAAGGAACCGCCCTAGTCTGTCTGTCTGGGGGAAGGAACGGTGCAGGAGAGAGAAAGATCTGTTTCTTACCGTGGTAGGATGGGGCATAACAGATCTCAGTGGAGAGATGGGAGGGCCAGGGGAGCGATGGAAGCAGAGGCAGGCGATAGAGAAGTCCCTAAGGTCTTAGCTATCAAAGAGAAGCAGTAGTCAAAGTAGCATGGAGGACCTGGAAGGTGTGCTCCTCTCAGAATCAGATTCTGGAAGACTACAGACAAGTTGCTTTTAAAACTTCACGCAGTGGTTGGTGTCCTGATGCTGCATCCAGCTTGCTTGGAACAGGCTGGTCCACAGCCCCGAACCCTTCACCGCATATCAGATGGAGGGGCCAACGCTGTGCTCCAGAAGCCATGCTCTTCCTCCAGAGGGCACGCACTCCTGATGCTAAAAAATCTATAAAAGTTAGTCCAGGGGCCGGGCGGTGGTGGCGCAGCCTTTAATCCCAGCACTCGGGAGGCAGAGCCAGGCGGATCTCTGTGAGTTTGAGGCCAGCCTGGGCTACCGAGCAAGATTCAGGACAGGCACCAAAACTACACAGAGAAACCCTGTCTTGAAAAACAAAAAACAAAACAAACAAACAAACAAACAAAATTAAGCCAGGGATTTCATCCTCAGCTTCCTTTACTAGGTGGGTAGAAATATTTTTATGAATATGTCTTTTTTTTTCCCCCTTGGGTAGGGTTCTCTCCACATAGCCCTGGCTGTCTCAAATCCCACTAATAAGCTGGCCACAACCTCATAGAGATCCTCCTGCCTCTGCCTTCCAAATACTGGGATTAAAACCGTGCACCACCACTGCACAAACTTCTGTCTTTTTTATTTTATTTTATTTGCTTGGTTTTACTGAGATAGGGCTGTCCTGTAACTCACTCTGTAGACCAGGCGGGTCTGGAACTCAGAGATCCACCTGCTTCCCATGTGCGGGGATTAAAGGCATGCGCCACCACCGTGTGTTGATTTTTTGGAACAGGGTTTCATGTAGACCCGACTGGCCTTGAATTTGAACTTTGTTATGGCCAAGATGACCTTCAGCTCTTGATCTTCCTGCCTCCACCTCAAAGTGCTGAGACTACAGGGTGTGCACTACCAAGTCCTACTGTGCACTATGTGCATGGTTTCTTTCCTGTTTCATACGTGTCTTCTTATTATATTTATTTGTTGTTTATTTGTATGTGTATGGGGGGCCTCTGTGTGGGTACATGCATGTCACACCGAGTGTGTGGAGATCAGAGAACAACTTGCCAGATGCTCTCCTTCCATTCAGATCAGGCTTGGTGGCAAGCACCTTTACCCACTTAACCATCTCAGTGGTCCCTGAGCATTTCTTCCAAAAATATTTTATTATTCTTTTTCTTGTGTGTGTGTGTGTGTGTGTGTGTGTGTGTGTGTGTGTGTGTGTGTGTGCATGCCTGAGGAGGCCAGAGGGTGTGGAATTCCTTGGAGCTGGAGTTCTAGGCGGTTGTGTGCTGCCTAATGTGGGTGCTGGGAACTAAACTCAGGTCCTCTGCAAGAACAATAGGAACTCTTGACCACTGAGCCATCTCTTCAGTCCCTGTGTGTGTCCTTTCATAAGATGTTATAAATGCAGTTTAGTACACTGCTTCACTTCCAGGCCCTAACCTTTACCACAGAGGCATCTCCTTTTTTATTCCTTTCCCTTGTTTGCATGAGGAAGAGGAGAAGGCTCTCCACCCTGCTTTTTCTACCCGCTCTCCCCACTTAGTAACATTGGTCTGGAATTAATTTCAGAAGTACAGAGCACATACAACCACCCCTCTGGAGGCTCAGTCAGTCCTTCCAGAGCTGGGGAGCAGAGCAGTGCTGTTGGTGTGCACTGGGGCTCTGGAACTGGCTGCCTGGTTCCTCGCCTTCCAGCCGTGTGACGGTGGGCACCTGACTGCTCTCCGTCGGTTTTCCTCAGCTGGCAACGTGGCCCTCCTTACTAGGTTAGGACGATGACACCAGGTAACACACCTGCCATGTCATCTCCCTCGGGAGTTTTCGCCTTATTGGAGGAAAAGTCGTCTTTGGCGCTGTTTGTTTGCGTCCTCTGAGGCTGGATGGAGCTTGGCAGACAGACAGACAGAAACACAGGGACGTGCTGCTCAGTGGGAGAGTCCTTGTCTAGCATGTGAGAAGTCCTGGATCCACGCCCCAGGGCAAAGGAGAAAAAAATGGAGGGGGGCTTTGTTTTTTAATTTTTAACCCGGAATCTGATGGAGCTGAAGATGACCTTGAACTCCTTATTCTTCTCCCATCTCTCGAGTGCTGGGATTGGCCCACCACTCACAGTCTCTGTGGTACGGGGGTAGAACCCAGGGCTTTGTGCACGCTGGGCAAGCGCTCCCCAGCTGAGCTCTAGCTCTCCACTGGTTTTTCTTGTTTTGTTTCAATGACACAGGATCTTCCTATGTACCCTCTGTGGCCTGGGGCTTACAAGGTAGATTGGGCTGACCTAGAACTCACTATGTAGCCTAGGCTGCCTTTGAATTTACAATAATCCTCATGCTTTTGCTGACCAAGTGCTGGGATCCTGTACCAGCCAATTTTGACTTTTAGAAATTGGCATCATGGCAGAGGCCTGTAAACTCAGCTTTTGGCAGGTGAGGGCAGGAGGATTAGGAGTTCAAGGTCATCCTAAGCTATAGGAAGCTGAATGTCAAAACACACACACACACACACACACACACACACACACACACACAAAGGGCTATGGATGTGGCTGAGTTGGTAGAGGGCTTGTCTATCAGGCACAAAACTGCCTGCTACTGTGTAAAATGAAGCACGGAGGTATATACTTATAGTCCCAGCATTTAGGATGCAGAATCAGGAGGATCGGGGTTCCAAGTTCAAGAACAGCCTAAAATACACGATTTCCTGTCTCAAAAAGAAAGAAGTAGCAGGAAGGGAAGGAAGAGTGAAGGACACGGAAGGGAAATGATTTGTTCTCTTCCGTCTTCTCAGCGCCTGCTTTCCTCAGGTCTCTGCTCCCCGTTTCTCTGTTTCCTGACTCCCACTGACAGAGGCTCCAGCGCCCATCTCCACTCTCGGTCTGTTTGTCCTGGCAGGAGGGTTTCCAGCACTACCCGCCAGGCTTCCAGTTCACTCATGCGCTCACGGTCCAACACTGTGAGGGGGGATGGCTCTGTGCCGAGTTAGAGCTGGGAAGAGTCTGGCAAGGAGAGGAGCTGATTCAGGCTGGAAACAAAACAGCCGCAAATCCGGGGCACTCGGCAGAGAGCACAGACAATGGCATTTGCTAAACTCCCAGAGTTCTTGGGGAGAGCCAAGTTTCTTCCCACTTTATTAACTCCTTTCATGAGGATAAAGCCAGGGCTAGGATCCTGAGCAATACATCCCAGTAGGAGAGGCCCAGACAGGACCCCGGAGTTTGCCAGGCTCCCACGCTTCCTGAGCCCGTGTCTCTGATCAGCACCCGGGATTCCGTCCGACTTCATCCATGCCATACCCAACACTCTTTCATTCATCCCCAAGACCCCAGCAGAACATCCCCCAAATGCCTCCTCCTAATCCCCCTAGGACAAAACATCTGCCCTGCATGTGTGTCCCTAGTAGGCTTCTGCTCGAATCACTCTAGACACTTCATTTTCCAGTTCATCTTCAAAAGGTATCATGTATTTTTGAGGGACTTAGCGGTGTGGGATCGGTTGCAGGGTCTGGCACACACTGAGCGACATCCCCAGCCCAGGACATATTCTCTTACAGCTCGGAACCAAATTATCTTCCTTCAAAGAAGCCTTGGTAGGAGGGCCGAGAATGTGACCCAGTTATTGGTAGAGAGCTTGTGTAACATGCACAAAGCCACACAAAAGTGTGGTGACATGTGTGCTTAATGTAGTTCCGGGGCAGAATCCGGGTGTGCACTCTTCTAACTGAGCTCACACATCAGCCCCCAGACTTTTTTTTTTTTTTCTGTTGAGACAGGGTCTCACTGTATAGCTCTGGCTGGCTTGAGCTATGTAGACCAGGCTGGCTTTGAACTCATAGAGATCCACCTGTCTCTGTCTGCCAAATGGTGGGATTAAAGGTATGTGCCACCATGCCTGGCCTATGGAATTAATTTTTTAAATTTCTTTTTATTTTATGTGTCTGGGTGTTTTGCCTACATGTATGTTTCTGCATAACTTGTGTGCCTCACACCCACGGGGGTCAGAAAAGGGCATTGGATCCACTAGAACCAGAGTTACAGCCCGCCTGAGCTACCACGCAGGTTCTGGGAATCAAACCCAGGTTGTCTAGAGGAGTAGCCAAGTGCTCTTAAATGCTGAGCTGTCTCTCCAGCCCTTGGAAATAATGTTTTTAAGCAACTGCTTTGTTTCCTCCTATCATAAGTGGACTCACATCCTCATTAGCCTGGGACAGGAGAGAAAGCAGCAAATAGTTCAGAGAGCCAGCTAGGGGAGGGTGGGAAGGAGGTGATGGGCAGTCAGTAAGAGTTGACATGGCCTCTGATGGCCCTTGAGTCATGTTGCCTACCTGGGACAGTGTCACGGGAATGAGAGGGTTCTTAACGTCCCAGATTTGCCTGAGACCTCCAAGGCCGTCCAGTCTAGCTATGGGACTGAACAGAGAAAGAACGCACGTCAGTACTCCAGGGACACAAAGAGAGCTCTTTCCTGTGGGAAGGCAGGGGCAGTGGAATGTTCAGGTTTTGTTTCTCACATTTTCTCAGGGCTGTGATTGAGAGTGGTACTGGCCCTGCAGACTTCTGGTCCCAGGAGAGGTTTAGAGGGGGCACAGAG